GTTAATTAATAGTGTTTTTAGTGATGACGAAGAAAACATTGTTTAATTTATATTAATATGTATCACTTAAAAAATTTTAATGAAGATATTTATCTTAATTATGAAAATATACTAGCATGTTTTTTAATTTTTGGAACCTAACCCTCCTTTTCGTATTAGTTCTTTGTTTCGTATAACACGGATTCGCATAACACGGCAATTTTTTGGAACGTAACTACCGTGTTATACGGGGGTTACCTGTACTGTAATCAATATCATTACAGGCTACATATTCTGCAAAGTATAGTCATATACAATTATACAACAATGATGCATTTAGTAATCTGTACCACTAAATATATTAGAAGTATAATTACTATATGAATAAATAATTACATTTTTGACTATTAACAGCCAAAGACATAGTAAGAGAAACCTACCACCTCCCTTCATCCGGATGGAAGACCTTCCTGCTTCATCATCGCGAATATCCAGAGCTCGATCAATGGTTTTCTGAGCCGAAGTAAATGCAGACTTGGCCAAATTTGCAAATCCAGCGGTATCAAACCAATTCATTCTGAAACGACAGGAAACGTACTTTGCAATATTCCTTTTACATTAATTATAAACGGCAATAGATTCATTTTTTACGACATTTAATAACGTAGGAACGAAACTAGCAACTCTTAATTCGTCTTATATTTAGTAAACAAAACTAATCTACATATAAATTTAGTTATATAACTATTTTTGCATTAAAATTTTCTCCGATTCCAATTTTTTTACTATATTTGCGTTTTTATAATCTCCTAAGTTTAATGTATTTTATCAATTATAGCAAATTATTACTTCCAGTTTTAATTCGTTTCCATATTACTAAATCTATAAATGTCTTCGACGCCATCTTGGATGACATAACGTCAACACAAAAAAAAAACCAAGAGACGTCGGGTCAATATAACATAACAAATACTATGCAACAGAAAAGATCCCCCCAAACCCAGTCAGACTACCGGATATTTATACCATCCCACTCAGAGACCATAGATTTGGCAGCGAAATGGTTTACATTGGCTCAACCAGACGTACATTGGGGATAAGGATTAAAGAACATAAGGCTGACATACAACACAACAGAACTACAATGGCTCTCTCTACATATACGACTGATCAGGACATCACGGCAAACTTTGATGCAGCACATATTATCCTCACCACCACCCACCCCGNTTTTATACTATTATATTTTTATATAGGACAATAATTTTTATGTAAGGTAAGCAAATTCGTCCAGCGTCTGCTAGATGTATCTTCGACATCAATGGAATTCGAAAATGAAAAGAAATAAGACGCCGACTGGATGGACAGAACTAAAAGTCAATACCATTCCAACAAAATTCAGTTTTCAGATACTCCATATATACAGACAAATAAAATCGTTACCCGCATTGGGTCATTCTCACAAAATTGGACAAATTCGATGTTCCAATATCTGTTGTAGGTAAAGATGATGAAAGGTTGAATATGTAGCAGTGGCGTAGCGTAGTGGGGGCGGCAAAATTTCACAATAAATAATAATAATATCTTGTAAAAATTTGAACCATTTTATTTCATATTTCCGTCGCACCTAGGATTCGGACCGATTGAAATGAGCACGGAACAGTGTTACCATACGGACAGTCCGGGAATCGACTCACCGTCTGGATGAACTATTAATTTTATCCGGTGATATCGTGTGCAACCTGTCAACCTTTTTTTTTTTTTATTTTTTCGTTGTTCGATTCATTCGTATTCATATACACCTCCAATATCCAATAGAGCTAGGTCATCTAGGTTACTTACGTTACTCCCACCCAAGTCTCCCTACTCGCTAACTGTAACTGATGTAGAACCTGCATGCACTGCACATTAATCTTCGCATTGCAAAGTGACATACGCATGCGTCAGGAACTTCTGTTCGAACAAACCTCACCTGCCCTCCGGGACAGCGATTTTAAAAAGGTGGCAACCCTAGCACAGAATTTTTCATTACTTATTCTGTGACGAAACTGAATTTTAGTCTTTTAAATTGAAATACCTAAATAAGGGGACGGCGAAATTTTCCTTTGCCCCGGGCGGCTGACACCCATGCTACGCCACTGATATGTAGCCTACTTTGTGTGTATTCAAGTCCAAAATAAATGCTTGCAGAAATCGATACCACAAATTTCCTAAAAAGTTTAAATTTTTAATAGATGGTATATTGAGAAAATGATTATCAACTATGAAGAAATTATTACTGTAGGAAAAATAACGAAGACCTTCTTCAGACTGCATTATTACCTTATTTTTTGCTCCAAAATATCAGTTTAATCTACATACAAGAGTAATTAAGCAACAATCATTTTAATGCAAATACGTGACTAAATGTGACTAATAATGTAACACAGCTTAATCCAGACAAAAAGTTCAGAAATGCACCTACTTATGAAATTATCCTATTGCCAAAATTTAACTCGCGAGCCAGTTATGTGAATCTGACATCAATTTATGCAGTTAGAAAGTCTCAACAAATACGAAATATCTTTTTCTATTGCAAGGCGTTTGTGGTTGTATTTTTCGGAGTACATCACTAATGTCATATTCGCATGTCATTCCAAGTTACCTTGCGTTTGTAATATGTAAGTAGAAGAATATTTCCCATAAAAACGCCTCTGGAAGACACCCTCTTTGGTAGATCAGCCTTGTTGTTGGCTTCCTTAATTAAAAGCCTTCGATCAAATCCGATGGAGATTGTCCGTTTCGATTTATCCGAAACCACTTGTCTCCTTTAGTAAGATGCTGCGCCGAAATTTAATTTATTATTTTATAACCGAAACTTCATAATTGACTTTTTGAGATAATTATTTTAGAAATTTTATTTGTGGCTTCTTTCTTTCATAATAAAATTATCAATAATTTGCTTTTGGCTTTTATCAAATACAGTTTAACTCGATTATAACGACATCCATGGGACCGGCAATTTTTTGACGTTATAAGCGAGTGTCATTAGCCTATCTACGGGTCATAATTTCAGTCTCATAAAAAGTACCAAGTGTGTTTAAGGATCTATTATAAAATCCATTCTAATTTAACATCGTATGTATTACCATATTACCATAAAATTACTGTATTTCTTAATAGTAATACAGTATACTGTATCTATTACGGTAATAATAATTTATTATCGTATGTATATAATTGCAAACTAAATGTTTAAATCTACTTTATTTACATTATTATGTCTAAGTTTACAACGATGTAATTAAAAATTTCAAAAATTACCTTTTATAAGAAATTTTGATTTTTTTCAACTTTCGATAATGGCGGTACTTTTGGTTTTGAGTATAGTATGTAATCAAAAAACAACAAAAGATTAAATAAATGTATGCCTTACGTGCTTCCCTAGTTGACGGCACTGCATTTTTTCTGTCTGATGTTTCATCATCATCATCATCATCAGTTTTTTTTCATCTGAAGATTTAATTTGCTCAACAATATCTGCATCTGTATAAAATTCGGATGTTATTAAATCTTCATCTACACTCTCATATTCAGTAGCAGCAGATGACAAAAATTCGCCGTTTTCTGAACTTTGAAGTGTTTTAATTAATACTGATAGAAAAAGGTCGTCGTTCTCATTATTGTCATCATTCATAAATGTAATAGCTCTTTGATTATTACTAGTGTTGCAACGAATAATATATTCGGCCAAACTATTCGGCTTGATTAACGCACGTACGAAAATTGGCTCGCAAACCGTATTATGGCAAGGACCGTACTCTCTATTGGCCCGCTGTCACTACTTTTCGCCAATCGCGCTAAACCAGCGCGTTAGACCGCTCGGCCACCCTACCAACTGCTTGCATCGTTATCAAAATTTTAACTGTGCATGCTGACTGACACTTCGAAAACACAATGGATAAAGTTCTCGTGTAGTAAACAAGCCTTTGCCGCAGAGATTGACTACGAGTAATCGAGTTATCTTAATTAAGTGATTTTGATGTTAAATTAAATATGAAATTTGTGCTTAATATAAAATAGTGACATTTTCCATNCAAGGGTGGCGTAAGGCATGGACGATGTGGGCCACCGCCTATGCCTCGCGGTCCAAAGGGCCTCACACCTTGAAGGTTTATGGATTACTTAAAAGCCGCAAACGCAACGAAAAAGTTTACTCGTCATAAAATGATAGTTTGTCAAATTTTTATTCATAAAAATGCAGTTTCAACTGCTTTTTATTTTATAAAATCCATCTTCTTGTGCCACTAGAGGGCCTTTTAAACAATAGGTAGTCTGTTAGTGCTGGTCATTAGTAGTGTAAATTCAATACAAACATTTGTTTCTTGAAAATTTGATCACAATTTAAATACAGTATTTATTTTTAATATTACCGATATGTCATTGAAAAGAAAACGTGTTGTATTATCATTAAAAGACAAATTAAAGTATTTGTTTCGATTATCCGAATTTTTCCTTATCAGGACTACCTTCATCCTCAATTAGTCCAGATAATCGAGGTTCTACTGTACAATGTATTTTTAAATTCATGAAGATCAGAAAAATATGCTCTAATTAAATCTAAAATTTTTATTCTCAAAAATATTTTTAAAAATTTAAAGCAGACAAACTTTTAAAAACATCATATTTACCTATAAGAGTTTCATCATCTTTATATAGACTTTGCTGTAAATGCTGATCTCCATCTTCTTCGACTTCTTGTACGGCAGGCATTATACTACTATCAGAATTTGGACTTTCGGATCTACGTCCATAAGATCTAGACATCCATGAACTTTTCAAATGCATTGAAGAGTGTTTCTCACCATTTTCTCCATTAGGGAGGGATATGATTTCAATATCGGATGAAGTAGTAGTTTCATTTTCTTCTCCAGAAGTATGACCACTAAGATGTTCAATTTCATATTTTTGATTATCAGAATGCTCAGATGTAGTACAAGATTCAGAATTACCACGATGTGAATAACTACTATCAGCTTCACCAACAGAACATTTTACAAAAGAACTTGATGAATTTGTTCCTGCAGATCCTACACTATCAGAGGATTTAATATCATATTCTTTTAATTCTGGTGTTTCCGATTCCTCATCTTTTAACTCACTTTCTGTATTAGTTTGGTCCCTGAAGATATCTCTGTTTTGATCATGAGAAGAAATGAACCAATGATCTTGGAGATCATTTGCATGATCTTGGACATTATCATCATTAATTTGTTCTGGTGAATCAAGTGAATATAAATCATCAGATACAGGAACAACAGATTCAGCAGAACTTAAATGACCATCATCCTCCAAAATGCAAATATTTGTAGATTCAGTTAAGTTCTGTATTTGATTTTCATCATTAATTGCATTATTTTCATTTTGAGCAATATCAGAGTTTGGTTCCCAAGCACCATAATTTTCTATATTAACTTGTTGAGGAGATAAATCAGAACTAAAATCATCACCTGTTGATGTGGATAACACTAACAAAGAACTACTTTCTAAAGTGTTGCTGCTACTTTGTTTCACAACACAAAATTCAACAGGTAGTTGTTCTGAATCAATTTGAGGACTAGCAGATTCATTAACAGCTTCAGAATCAAGTTTTTCAATGTTTGTTACTACTTGTTCATTCGATGTTAATAATTTTTCACTAATATCTTCTTCTTTTATACTTTTAGCAGGAGTTAATAAATTCTGTGGAAGCTGAACTGATCCTTCAGGTTTGTCTAAAGATTTTTGTAATAGAGATGGAGACAGTTCAGTCAGCCTTTCAGTAACGGTCAAATGAGCCTCAATCTTGACATCACTCTCTTTACAACTATCATATTCACTGTCATCTTTGGAGAAATCCCTGTTCATCTCTTCACTAGTGACATGCTTTGTTGTACCAGATGGAAAAGCACAGCGCTGCTGTGGTTGAGAAAGGACAGTTGCTTTGTCTTTATCACTAGATGTGTCTTTACTAAAATGGCTTTCAGAACTTTGATTTTTATTACCATAATCAAAAAAAGATCCCCAATCATTCCAAGATCTTTCTTTAAAATTATCATCACTAGGAAGGTTTTCTTCTTTACTGATTTGTTTTTTATCATCTGTTTTTGGTAATTCTTTCTTATCTTTTAATCCATAAGCAGCAAAAAAGCTTTCATCTAAAAATGAATATTGAATAATTATAATCATTGTAATTAATTATCACTTATAACATACTACAAATGTACGGTCCATTTCATTTAAAATAAATATAAACAAACATACTGAAAAGACATGCTCTAATTTGTCTATGTTCTGTATTATTCTGTTGCAAGCCAATAAAATGCAGTAAAAAAATGTATATATTACATTATTAATTTTCTATCAATTATTTTATTTTAAAGATTTCTTTTTATTTAAAGCACCATTTCATTATCTCTAGAATCTATAACAATTTAAAAACCATTACATGAGGATAGACAATGTAAAATGAACTATCTATATCCTGATTTTTCTTAAATGAAATGGATTGTGAAAAATACAAAAATTTTTATTTAGAAAAATATTTCTTAAAGATCCATTATTTCAACTTTATGATAAACTATCAATAAAATAACATAGTTCAAAAGTTTGAATTTAATATTTTAGAACAAAATCTCCTTAAACTCCAAAGAATTTTTTAATCCAAAGGAGTCACTTGAGAGGAAACTTTCACTTTCTCTCAAGTTAAAAAGAAATAATTTAAAAAACAAAAGAAAAAACTTAAATACTAATAAAATATCAATATATTCCAATAATTGTTCCAAACTAAAAAAGGTCTACTGAAAAAAGATTTTATAACACTTTTTGATACCACTCATGAAACTGGATGAGAAACTATTAAAATAAACACACTAAAACCAAAAATATTCAGCAGGAACAAACTTTAAGAAACTAAACAAACATTTTCGATGGTTTTAAATCATTATCTTCAGATTATGTTACAATAGGATGTAAAGAAGTAAGTTAGAACATAATTTTTGAAATGGAAAGTAGTTAATTCCATTAATCAAAAAAGAGCATGTCACTAATAATGTCAAGGGGACTGGCAAATACATCTTTAAAATAATCATTGTGTTAACAAAAACACAATGATTATTTTAAAAATTTATTTCAAATAAAATTTTCAAGCTGAAGAGAAAATGTCTGTATCTCTCTAATTTATGTCTACATTCTTAGTGGAAGTCTTATAAATTTCTAGTTTCTCAAGAGATACTTGGCCATCATTTTTGGAAGCAAATGCAGCCAAAGCAGTGGAAGGTATGCTCTTTTTGATGGAATACAAATGCTCCTGTAGTTCTTTCCATTTCAAAAACTACATTCTATCTTCCTCTTTACATTCTATTGTAACCATCAAAACCTTACTTTTAAAACCAGGGCTGCAGAGTTGGTAAAAAAAACACTCAACTCAGACTCCTGATAATTTTAGTAGGTCAACTCCGACTCCTACAAAATTAAATATCAAGTCATTTTATGGGGCCAGAGGCACTCAAAGAGGGTTACCCTACTCTGAACTCTAAAAGAAGCCCAGGGCATTTATCCAAATACTTTTATAGTTAGTATTTTTAATATTTAACTTACATTAATATTTATTTGTGTAAAGAAATTAATTTTTAACAAATATTTAATAAAGAGGAAAAAGGGGAGACAATAAAATTCTATATCTACATATCTTTATTCTACAGCTTTTGCACTTCAATTTCACCTATCCAGAAAAGTTAGTCCAACTAAAAAGTGTGCGATCTAGCTACTTCAGCCTCTTGTTCAGAAAAGAAAAATATATACTTTGATCAATTAGTCTGGCTCATTCAAAAAAAATAGAGTACTCATTTGGAGTGGGGATAATAAAGAAACAAATCAAAAATATTCAAATTCATTCTTTTATTATCCACATTTAATCCACATTTAAAATCATTATATAACATGATAGCCAAGAGACGTCGGGTCAATATAACATAACAAATACTATGCAACAGAAAAGATCCCCCCAAACCCAGTCAGACTACCGGATATTTATACCATCCCACTCAGAGACCATAGATTTGGCAGCGAAATGGTTTACATTGGCTCAACCAGACGTACATTGGGGATAAGGATTAAAGAACATAAGGCTGACATACAACACAACAGAACTACAATGGCTCTCTCTACATATACGACTGATCAGGACATCACGGCAAACTTTGATGCAGCACATATTATCCTCACCACCACCCACCCCGAACATCTCAATTGGTTGGAGACTATGAAGATATAACACAACACGATGCAACACAACATGCATCAATTTTAAAGAAGAGATGGCCCTTTCAACAGTAAGGCAGATCCTGCTAGATAATAATATTTTAAAAAGTTTACGTCAAAATACTACAGCCCGCATGCACTGTATACAAAGCATCGCTCGTTTCGTTTTTAAATTGGCTGGAAGGTTGGTGCTTGTGATGATTCAAATGATAAACCGCTCAAAAGAAAATATTCGATTCTCAATGTCCAGCTTATTATTTATAGAAAGCCTGAGGATGAGCCCAGAAGGGGCATCAAAAACATTTGCTGACATAACACAACCACTCTGGTTACAAGATTGAAAGTAAGGGCTATTTTTTATTCAAATTCAATTGGGTCAAAATAATTTTAATACTAAACACAAATACTACAAAGAAAACTATTGACACATATTTAATACATTAAATTGTTGCATTTTGTATTTAAGATAAATGAATTATAACAAAATACAAAAACATTTTAAAAAATTATTAAATAGAAAATAAATTTTCTTTCATTTAAATAAAAAAAACTAAATTAAATTTAAAATGCCAGTCAGAGTCAGGAAAAATGTGTCGGCCTCCTCTGGCCAGAAATTCCTCCCGACTCTGACTCCATAGCCCTGTTTAAAACCATTGAAAACATTCATTTAGTTTATTAAAGTTTGTTTCTGCTGGATATTTTTGGTTTCAGAGTATTAATATAACACTTTTCTTCCATTTTGTTACATAGTATAATAAGAATAAAAATTCTGAAACATTCCCTTTTGTTTCAAATAAAAATGAAAAAATTTTAAATCAACATATTTTCAACTTTTAAACATCAATTTCAGAATGACAAACTTTCATCAAAAATATTATAACAACACAAAAACATAACTTATTAAGTTACATTGTTTTGCATACTACTTTATAAATTATTTAATAAATATAATCCTGTAAAATTTAAATCATTAAACAATTTATAATTAATGTAATATTATATTAACCAAATTATTTTTATTAATATATTAATCCAGTTAGTAGTGAAATCCATTATTGTTTTTTTTTTTTAAACTAGAGGCTTGTGCCAATTTTGATACAACAGACAGTGCAAAAAAATAACATGAATGACTATCAATTAATTAGCAATATTCATTTACACTTATTTGAAATTTAATTCTATTTGCAAACATAATTTTGAAGACTTCTATGGAATGAGGTCCATACTGTATATACTTCAACAAATTCTTATGTAAGTATATTATCAATACTAATAATATTTAAAGTTTTATTTTAATCTTAAACCATGTCCAACGATATTTATATCTAAATAAATACACTAATCATATCATAATAATATTAAAATAAAATACAGGTAACCCCCGTATAACACGGCACTTTTATAGCACGGATTCACTCTAACACGGTTCGAGAATTGGTACCATCCCCCGTATAACACGGTACTTTTATAGCACGGATTCACTCTAACACGGTTCGAGAATTGGTACCATCCCCCGTATAACACGGTACTTTTATAGCACGGATTTACTCTGACACGGTTCGAGAATTGGGTAAAACCTTCGTACAACAGGAAATGTAATAAATTTTTACATACTTAAGTAATAATAGTTCACGAAAATTATT